AACGGCAATCTCGAGCTGATCGTATTTAATACGCATAAAATCACGGTAGAAATAGAAATTATTTGGCGAATTGCAATCAAATTCAAAGTCGTATGTCAGAAAGATTAAATCATGTTTGGAGAAATTGAGAATAGAAAGTTGATTATAAAGAAGAGCTTTTGACTTCTTACTAACGAAAAAAATGTCTAGTAGTGTACTACTAGTTCACGTAAAATGCGTAGGCATCGAGCAATTAACAGCGAATAGTCCAAGATTTTGCATGGACAGCGAGAAGTGGTTTTCGCTTAGTAAGTCATTATTGAAGTCTCCTGTTATGATAGTATTTTGGTGAGCTAAACTTATGTCTTCAAGGAAGTCAATGAAATTAGAGTATTCAATATGTTTGTTTGGGCTATAAACACATCCAAGTAGTATCTTATCTAACTTTGTTATAATTTCCACAAAAATGTATTCTATAGAGCTATTTTTAAAGAGAACGATATTGCATTTCAAAAGGCGAATTACGACGGTATCTGCTAAAAAAGTATACGCCTAATGTATCTACGAGTATCGGTTGTGTGCAAATAGAATGTAAAGGTAATAAAAAGGGAAGAGAGAGAGAGAGATTGCAATATCTCAAACTTACACTAAGGCATGTATACTTATGAACCAAGAATGATAGAATACAAGACTGCGCCGATCAGAGAGGATTTTTGAGAATAACTTTTGTGTGACGTCACACTGGTGCAATTGCGAGAGAGAAATGCCAAAACGTGAGCAAGAATGGAAGAAGAAGAAAAAATGTTGCAAGGAAAACGTAAACAAGTTGCACAAGTGTGACGTCATGCAAACCACGATTCTGTCAAATTCGTTAAGAGAGGAATAGCGGTCCGAGATCGGCGCAACCTTTGTATTCTCTCAATCGTGCTTATGAACTAATCTCATTACATTTATAATTTTTGTTATTACTGTTGTTGTTGAGCGCTGCAATTTGGTTAATTTCATCTCTAGAGTGCACTCTGACTGCATCGCTTTCCGGACGAACTCTTACGTGCACTACTCCACGGAGTGAGAATACTGTCAGAAGCCGCTTCTGCTTTTTCAGATCGATCGCATGCTGCATTAATTCGCGATTTTGTTTAGTTAGGCATTCGTGTATGAAAATTTGGCCGTCTGCATCGATGCCTATATCGCGCAGAGCAAGTGGTTTTCGCTTGGCTTTGAAGTGCCGTGCAGCCGCTCTGCATAGAAGAGAGCGGTCGTTAGCAGAGCTCAGCTTGACAATGACAGGCGCGTTTTTGCTGTTGTTGCCTTTTTTTAAGCGAAAAATGGCACGCATTGGTGGGGTGGTAATTCTTAGGGTCTGATTATGCATACTTCGCATAACTTCGCACAACCATTTGTACCAGTGCACTAAAAATGTAACTTAAGAAAATGTGAAGCAAAATCTAAACTCAACAGATCGCTAAGTTCTTAAAAGTTCTGCTAATTTCTGGGTAATGGAATACATACAAAATACATACAAAGTACATACGAAATTACAGTTTGAAGTTTATGCGAAGTTGTGCGAAGTTATGCGAAGTATGCATAATCAGACCATTAATGCACTACAAAGCTGTGAGAAGGTTGCGCTTAGGTTTTCGTCTTTGATCTGCGTTATACCTCTTAGTAAATGGTCTGACGAAATAAGAGCATTCTGGCATGCATTTAATTGCTGTCTCATTGTTTTCACTTCGTCAGTTTGCTGCTTTACACAATCGACCTCGTGCTCTACCTTCATTACTCGGTATTCAACATTTTTAAGGTTTTGCTTAAGGTTTCTCAGCTCAGCCGTCAACTCACCGATTCTTTGCATAACCCGCTCCTCCGTCTCTTTCATTCTTGCAGTCAGCTCTTCGATGATAATGTTCTTCTGCATATCAATTTTGGCTTCCAGTCGGGATAACCAATTAGTCGACGGCATGCCTTCGGTTACTCCAGTATTGCTGCGCTAGCTCGCGACTTGAAGGGGAGAGGCGACTGCTTGCTTAGCGGCTTTCCGTGTTGTCATCACATTAAGATTCATCTTTGGATTATTGCACTTTGACTTGATTTAGATTTTGTAATATTAATAGTTGTCTTGGTTATTTTGATACGTGTCCGACGTTCACCGAAAAAAGTGTAGGCTCACGCACTAAGTTTCAAATATTTTTAGTCTGCCGAAGTCGCGGAAATTATTTGTTTTATTGCAGCGCTCGATAAACACGTCTACTGAGTTTGCATGCTATGTGCTTTTTTATTTGGGGTATTCGATCGCTGCCTAATAGGATATAAACTTGCGGGGGGTGTGGCAGTTGGGATCCGCTAATTTGAGGTCTGCGAATTTTTGACGATCTTCCTCGTTTATTTTATAGCTTGGAAGTATATTTGTTAGTTGCGGCAGAACTATAGCTTGTGCTTCTATTCTTACATCCGCTTTGGGGGAAATCAGGGTTATTGAGCAGATTTTGTTAGAGTTTTGTATTACTCTTCCACCCATTCCCGAAATTTCAAAGTTTGAGTTGGTGGTTGAGAATTTTAATCGGAGTTTGATCGATTAGAGCTCTAAGCTTAAATAATTCTCCTCGATGTTCAATCGAGACAATCGCGGCTGGCAGTAATATTTTGCCTTCATTTTCAGAATGAAGCGCTTGTATATGAGCTGACGACATTATATCTTTCGGTCATCGTAAGTTTTTTAAACTGCTCGCAATATCTTAATGGGTGACCTCCTTTACAAAATTCGCATGACGTAAGTTTGTTTTCATTCATAAATGTTTGCGATCTATTGAAGCTTTTATTATGTGAATTGTGATTACTGGCTTGGGGTTTTATGAAGCTTCTATGTAGATCATTATTTTTATTTTTTCTTTTGTAATTTTTGTATCTACTTTCTCTGCGATTTCGTACTGGGTAGTTAGAAAATCTTTCATTTGTTGCCACGTCGGGCATTTTTTCCGGTATGAGAGCGATTGCTCCCATAAAAGTAATGAATTTTCTGGTAAAGTTGCGGCGCAAATATTTACCAGAATAGGGTCCCAGTTATCTGTGGGAATATTTTGAGTGGATAAAAGGCTGACTTCCAAAACGTATCAATACAATGTTTGGAAACTGTAATACTGCGGTATTCAAACTGTTTTTATATGCAGAGTTGCGACATATTGCAACCATATACATTACATATTTTAAATATTCAATATAGCAATGAACAATTTTTCTGAATTGTCCATATTTAAAACACCAATGCTAACCAATAACAAACGAAGCATCAAGTTTGTTTCTGATGCGCTGATTGCTCAAGCGATACGTTTCGAAAACTTATCGGCTGCGTTTTGGAACAGTATACATTGTCAATATTTTGTAGTTCGACGTTATGGAACCTTATACTTTGTACGTATACAAAGCAATTGACGTTTTGGAAGTCAGCCAAACTGATAGACAGTTTGAGACAGTGGACTGTAATTCTTCACTCGTTTCTTTTCGAATTTTCGGTAGATTCATTAAAATCGTTACTTGTTTATCAACCAGTACTCTTTCATTTTTGTATCTTTCTTTTAATGCTTCCCCAGCCAGATTGAAATTATCGTCATTTAATGCGAATTGTTTCACTATACTGCCTGCTTGACCTTTAGTCTTGTACCTGAGGTGATACAGGCGCTTGTGACAATTTCGGGTGATTTATGTATACGGCTGTAAACATGTCCCGGAAGGACGGCCATTGTTCATAACCCCCATAGAGAGTTTCTGTGTCACATGCTGGCACTTTGAGATATATGCCTGAGCTTTGCTCTTGAATTTGGCTTACTTCTACTCTCGGGGTGGAGTGGGTGCGCTAACTGGGGTTAATTACTTAAGCTGATCGGAGATCATAGGTTTTGTCTCTTCATATTGGTCCAGGCAGTTTTTGTATATAGCGGCAGCCAAAGCTTTGAAATTCTCGGGTAAATCGGAATCATCCGTTTCTATAATTGTACCGTATGTCGCTTGAAGGCGCGGCCAAAAGTTGTCAAGGTTGTGGTTTTTTATTTCCAGAGCCGATTCAGAATTATCTTCTAATGGGGCTGAGGAGAATGTAGTGCAGTATTTTATCAAACTGTAGCTATCCGAAATGAATCTTGCGCCTGAGAAATCTTTGTTTTTTCTGTTTTGCACCCTGCTTCAAGCGTGTAGCTTTTGGTACTTTTAAAGTGAATGGGGTTTTGCCTACTTGCTCCTTTACTGGAGATTTATCAGAAGGCATTTATGTATGCGAAAATAAAAAATGCATTTATTTATTTTTTTATAAACAAGTTTTCTTTAAATTACCGCAATTAAAATCTTTATATTGAGTATTTTTATTTTAACGTGCTTCTTAATATTTTTCCTTTACGTGTGCTGTACAAGGTATATGCACTACTGGGTTAGTAGGTACGTGAGTAAATCAGCCCTATTCTGCATTTCGATTACGTTCCCGCATTCCGCTCCGCTGGAATCGAACTTAGGTATTCTGCGTTACAATCGAAACGAAAGAAGAAGAGGAAGAGAGAAAACATCTTTCGAAATCAGCTGTTTGCCTAGGAATGTGTGAAATCGAAACAAAACAAAGAAATATTTGCCACCAAACTATAGCAGCATATGAAGTTAAAGTTTGTAAATATTTTAAAATAACTAAATATACCTAGCATCACTGTAATTTAAAAATAAAATTTAAGTGGATACCTAATTATAAGAATGAAATCCATAGCCGCGGCGTTATTGCTTGAAGAGAAGAACGAGTCCCAGATTGCTGATGCGGAAGTTGAAAGGCGGACATGTTTGATCTTTTTCAGATGAGTGAAGAGTCATAAGGAATTCATCTTGAACTGTATTACTCATCGCTTAAAGTCAGTGAAATTATAAACGTTGTTTGAGCACTCCACAAAATTTGCATTTACTACAGAGTGGAAGATTTGAACGCAAATGAATCCCATTTTGAAAGCCGTCAGGAGGAGGGGAAGAACAAAGCTTATCTTTCCATAGCAAATCGAATTCGAGACAACATACGCACCTCTTTTTAAAAAGTTAGTAAAAACGAGTGCAATAATAAAAGCATCTTTTTTATGTAACTTCACATTTTATGTATGTATGTATCTATGTGCATACATCTATTAATTTTATATAAAAAGAATAAATTGCATTCAGTGCATTTCACAGTCTTATTTATAGATAATGTAAACAAAAACGCCTGGACTTCTACTTTGAAAACGTCGCGCAACATCCCTTTTGGCTGCCATTATTTGAGCCAATTTTTCGTATTGCCCGTATTACCGCTCGCGAAAACACAGAAATCGAGAAAATTCATTTATGATGACTTTTACAATCATGCACAGTATATTTTACTTAAATTTTTTATAAAATTTTATTATTTAAACCCACGAAAATAACAATTGAAACGGAACTACGATCGAAATGTAGAATAGGAGAAAATTTCGATTCGAGTCGAAATGCAGAATAGGGCTGAATATGTACGTGTGTATGTTAATGTTAGCATGCAATGATACATTAGGTGCGTTCGTTTAAAATCTCCAGCAGAAACCAACCAACTGCCAAATTTCGGCAAAATGTCATCTGTTCTCTCACAAGAGAGAAATATCCAAAATAGTACGCGAACAGAAAATTTGCAGAAACTTGCATGTTAGACGAACAGCTGATATAATTTTTGTTTACATACAAAAGTGTAAAATTTAAAACGTACGAAAAGTCATCGCAAAGTGTTATACTGACACAGTTTATTGATTAAACATATAACTACTTATTTCTTACAAGTTTAATTAGTCGCATTTTGTAATTTTTATCTTCCAAACCATCAAATTCAATTTTTGTGATTTTCGTAAATGCCAACCAGCTGTTTTTGATCAGCTGTTTTCCTGTTGGCAAAAATTTTTCCAGCAGAAACCAGCAGCTTCTCCTCAAAATGAAATGTCAGTTTGCTCTCTCAATTTCCCTTACTTTGCAAGTTTTTTGCGTACGCGAACGCAAAAACTTGTAAGTTTTGGTTAAACATGAACAATTAACAGCTACGCGAACGAACCTAATATATTAACATATGTTAAGCGAGGGCGGCTGATACTGGTTAGTGTGTATGCCACTATGTTTTTTGCGAAGGACGGGAGAAAGAGATAATTAGTGATTGCAATTTCGTTGCTTTGTTTTGATGTATGCCCGTTTGTATATATGTACGAGTAATTTGTTAGCTGTTGGGAGTAACGAACTTTTTAGCTAAGTCAAATGGGCAGTGAGTTTGCTGATGACCGTATGTACATAAGCTTGTTTATGTGCAATTCGATGCAGATTAGGGGCTAATAAGGGTTTGTATACTTGTTTACCTCCACGTATGCACGTATGTGTATTACTTCGTGGTACAGATGCTGGGAGGCCAGAAATAAAATATGCAATGGCTTGGTACCTATTACATATATTTAGGTGTTTTTGATATTTGCTATTTATGGGTTTTAGAAGCTGTAATATAATATGTTTACATACATAAATATGCAGTATTTACTGCCACTTCTTTTCTAATTTGTTTAGCCAATAAGTAAGAATATTTTTCGCGCTTAATTTTTTATTTGGTTGGTATTATTCTGACTTTTGTTTTCTGCTGCTTATTTGGTATGCAATCCTGCTATTGCTTGATATGAGTACAAGCAGAAGGGGTACTGCCGGGCAATTATTGCAAGTAGATACTTAAATTTTTTATGTTTTGGGCTTTGGTGTGTTACTAAACACGAAAATTAAGCTAAAGCAGAAATTTCAAGTTATTTTTTCATGCGTATATATGTACTATGTATGTACATACGAATTTTTTATTTTTTGTTCAAACCGTTTTTTGGAACCGTAAAGTTTTTACCGATATGTATATTNTTTTTTTTTTTTATAAAGGTTCGATACAACTCACTTTGGCGGTAGGGGGTATATGGGTTTTATTATGGGTCTAATAATGTGGGTGCATTTGATATCCGGATGGATGCTTGTTCCCTTTTTCCTCCCAGTAGTCCTGCGCTTGCTCCTGGTGATGTTGAGTTGCTTGTTGATTATGACTTTTGTTAATTTGTTGGTTTGAGTTAGCGCCCGAAATGTATATTTATTTGTATGTATATTTATTTAATTATGTATTTCGCGTTTGTAATTGTTACGCGACGCTCCCGAACAAAGTTTTAAGTTTATAAGTTTTTCCTCACTATATGTATGTATGTATATAGGTATATACAGTAATATGGCACTGTGAAATTTAATTCCTCCGATATGTGTACATATATGGATCATGGTTGGTGCGAATATTCGCATTCGCATTCGCAACCGCGGAACTTCCGAATAAATTTTGACATTCGCATTCGCAATAAGCAATGCGGAGCTTTTGCGAATGCGAATATTGTACAAGTGCACTGATAAAACGTATATCTGGCAAACAAAAATTTTAGCGAAAATGTTCAACGGCTGGCTATAAAGAGAATCGAATATTATTTGTCAAAGGTCTGTTGAAAAAACTGGATGCATCTCTAGTTGTTTTCTACTTTTTCTTAGTGTAATTATTTTTTCCTCATAAAACTTATTACCAGGGAACGGATTTTTAGGACCTAAAAACCTATAAAAAAGGCAAAATAAAGTAACGAAATAGGCTAAATCGTGGACATTCTTAATCGAATATACTCTATCTCTTTAGCAGAAAAAAAGGCAATTTCCATAAAATCCGTTCCCTGCTTATTACTCTGAAGTTCCGTGTTTCCTTTTATTAGTCTTTCAGCTCGAAAACAAAAACATTTATTTTAATTTTGTGTGAATTGTCAAAATTAGCACGCAACGAAATAAAAAATAAAATGGTATGTAAATAAGTCGACAGCCAAGTTCACAAATTAAATAAGAATTATTTCAAGGTGAATTTTATATCTATTGAGGAGTGGGACTTGGCATGTAATATATCGTTAGTATAGTATGAAAAGGGCTTAACTTACATCGTAGCTGAAATACAAAAAGCCGTAACTAACTAAAAATCCAAAATTAACTTTTTGATTGATTGTGATGCATTTCATCGAATCATAAGTCCTCACATCGTTTTAGGCAATACAAAAATTTAGTTAGTTGTGTTTTTTCTCATTTCAGCGACAATGTAAAAATGAGCCCTTTTAAAATAGTATTAGCGATATATGTGTTCAAAATTTGCGTTCATTCGCCTCAAAAAATATATCAAAACACATTGAGCGCATGGAATGGAACAACAAAACAGATTTGATAGCTTATGGTACCGATAGCGGTGAGTAATTAATTGTGACTGCCTGCAACTAGGAAAAGCCGAGCTCAACTAACTCATAAAAAAAACTAATTACAAGGTATTCATTACAGGCGAACCTTTCCAAGAAGTCAGCCGAGAACTAAGCAAATCTGAGGCCTTTATCGTCCGTGATTCCAAAATTCAAATTATTATAAAAATCGGGGTACCTTTTTAACAAAATAACAAGATTTTAAACTAGTTCTGCTGGCAGCCACGACTTTCAAAACAGAATTTTCTTCGACATTTTCATTCCTAGAAAATAACAATTTATTTGCCATATCCACCTATTCACAACCTCGCTATAAGCGCACATATTTCAAACCAGTCACAGAAGACAGGATTAAAAATGAATTACAAAAACTTAAATCGAAAACGCTGATGACGTAACAGGTTCTCGAAATTCTGAAACAATCAAAAGAATTGATGCTCAAAATTGGAACACTACGGTGTTTAAACAACGATCTTTCCATGATGCTAGATTGTGAAGATGAAAGTCCGGAGGATACATCCGACATTTGCGGCCCCGATGCAATTCCCAAAAAGGAACTGTTGCACCGAAATAAAAAAGGAAACATAACTGAAAGTCCTCTCAACTGGTGCAGCGTCAATCGAAAACATTTTACAATTTTGTCAAGTTTCAAGTTTAGCGCCTCGAGCGAATAGTTATTTAGTGGCGCAGGTTTGATTTACGACCCGTTAGGAAACAGGCTGTAACCCGAAAAGGCAGCAAAATTACTCTTTCTTAAATACAATGTTCCAGTTTTTTAATTGAAGTTCTAAATAAAAAAACATTATTAAAAATTACTAACTTTTCCATTTTTTATTTACCTAAATCACCTAATGTACTCACCAAAATTATTTCTTAAAAATATTTGACATCCGCATTCGCATTCGCATCCGCGGATGTTAGCTTTTAAACATCCGCATTCGCATCCGCGGATGTCTAAAATTCCACATTCGCAACATCCCTAATATGGATCTATATCACTTTTAAACGTTTTTATTGTTGGCAATGGACTGTACAATTTAATTTTTTATTTTTTGGTGCCGTTCACTAAGGCTACGGAGGACTATGAACAATTTAGGCCCTTGGTTTTTTATATTGCCGGTAGCTTACCACTTAGTAACACTGGTTCCACTCTATGCAAGAAAGAAAACACAGAATTTTTCGCTTTAAATGTACAAATAGTGTGAGGGGTTTTTATTTATAAATCGAGGGGGCTGCTCGGACACGTCCGCACGGATGAGAATCTTAACGTTTGTTTATCTGTATACATGTGTGTGTGTGTGTGGGTGTGTGTATTACATGTGTAGTGTGTGCTGATGGTGACATCTGTGGGCGGTATCTTCGCGAGCGGAAGTGGCAGCCTTGCCATCGCGAAAGGACCCATTTTTTATATTATTTTTTATTTTGTAATTTTTCTTCTGTTAAAGTTTGATATTTGTTAATTTTTTCATTAAAAAATATAAAAAACTGGAATGATTAATTAATTTGCCAGAAACTATAAGCCCTATCGGAAAGTGATGTATATACAGTCTATGTAGAATTTTGTTAGCTTTTATTTGCGTATTTCATATTAAGATTGTTAAATTGGTTCGTAAGATATACGTGATTAAGTGGAACCAATTTAAGCTGGGCAGGAGTCACGTATGACGACAATCGTCTGGACGATATCGTGTTGAGATTGTCTTGCTTCATTTAAACCAAAACATGTTTGATCGTTTGTGCGATATCGTCAACTCGATTTTAATTTTGCTTCATGTAACCGTAACACTAACACCTAACAGCAAAACAAATACATGAATCAGTGTTTTGACGACATCGTTTAGTTAGTATCGTTTGAACGACTATCGTTTCAAAGTTACGTGATTCATGCCCTGAATAATGGTAAATTGCAAATATCTCGAAAACGTATCCATAGAAAAAATTAACTAGATTTTCAGAATCAGCGAGCGATTATATATAGGAATTGGAAAGTGGCATCCATTGAACATTTTTCCTGTAAATCAGTGTTATTAATCATTTTTTAGGTCTGGTATAATTGAGTTTGTACTCGCTTTAATGGTTTACAATATACCCAAATAAAAGTTATAATATTTTGTGTACTTTATTGTATTAAACTGTCGAAGTCAAATAAAACAGGGCATGAATAAAGCGTTTTGAACATGGTGCAAGTGTGGTAATTTTCTAACTAGTTCGGTTTCAGTCAGGAAATTCTAGTTGTAAACTAGTATTTTTCCTCACCAGTTTGGGGTTTCACTTCAGGGAGGATAAACTTATACCTGAGCAGAGTGAATGTAGATATACCCTATGAGTGCCCGGCATGCGGAGAGTCGCCACATGACGCACGGCACCTCTTCGCATGCACAAAGAACCCCACCCAGCTAACGCCTCTGTCCCGTTGGACAGACCCGGTGGAAGTTGCACACTTCAAATTATCGTATGTGCCAAAAAACACGTTTTTCAGAAAATAGAGACTTTTCTACAAAAAAATCTTGCGTTTAGTTATATTTCCCAATTATCTCAGCAAATCTAAATTTTAGTATTGGTGGTGTTAGCCAAAGCAGAGAAAAATAAAAAAACACTCCTGTAAAATATGGTATTTGTAACAGACGATAATTTTGCGCAAAGGGGTCGATATTTTCTGCAATTCGCTATCCAGGTGATTACTAAATGGGCCGATGATTAGATTTTTGTGGGACGGCTATATCAGATCTGTAAGCCAAAAATGTCTGCAGTATACTCTGGGTAGTTATTTTGTTGGTAGTAATAGTCGGATTCTATCCCAACTTTGGTTTAATTCTGAGTAAAGGGTTTGATTGACTAACTAGGAAATATTTAACATTTTACACAAAAATAATGAAAAATATATTATTTTGTGGGCGTGTCATACCTTTAAAAGGCAAATATGATAACTGACGAACACTTTTATCCATATGTGTATATATGTATATTGGGGCTGTTATTCAACACCTTTTCTATCTGTAATGACTTAAACTTCATCACTTGTTTAAAGTCGACATTTAAATTATAGATGTCAGTTAAGTTAAAAATGATTTCTAATATCTAAAGATAATGCTTATTTTTTAAATAAATAGATCCAGCAAAAAGAAATTTTAATGCTACTATAGATAACTAGTGGAATCCTCTAATTTGTCGAAATGATGTTAGCGAACCCATTCCACAATGGTCAGTGAACTGATCCTTACATGTGTTTGTATTACACATTTTAGTAAAACTAAGTTTGATATGAACTTTAATTTCGTTTTAATGACAAAAATGTTTACCAAAGTTTAACAAACATTACCTTGAATTTAATAAGGCATTTTCAAATTCACATTGTGAATCTGAAATGTGTTCCAAATCGCTTTATAACGTTTGAGATAAGAGAACACACCTAGTTCTTTAATCACCCTCTAAACTGGACTAAATTTTTGCTGTGGAAGGTGTTGAATAAAAGAATTTGATGTATGTATATAAAATATAAGCAATTGTAATATTTCGATTTTTTGCACAGATTCAAAAATTTGGGATGAATGAGTACCTAGGCCCTATTTATGTAACAGATGCTAACGAAGTAGGAACCTTCAATCATCCATTTTCGAAAAACTTACAGAGGATAATTGACAAAGAAGCTCGAAATCTGATACACAACGCGTATAATACAACTGAAAATCTACTCAAGAATAATATGAATAAACTCGAAAAGGTATGTTATAGTGAACTTTTGAATTATATATGTTTTTATTACCTTAATTTTTTAGATGGCAGAGGCTTTGCTTGAAAAGGAAACGCTTTCATACGATGAAGTGGTAAATTTAATTGGTCCACCTGCTTATGAAGTTGCAAACAGAGCACTAGAACCTGTTGAATTTGAAAAGTCTTTGAAAGCCCTCAGTGAGAAGGAGTAGTAAACTCAGTTATTTACTGCTCATACCTAGTATAGAAACGAGAAAAAATAAATTATTATGTGTTACGTAATGACTGGAAATACAAAAAATCTTTGACCATACTACAAATACGCTGAAATTTCGCATATGATCTCTTTAACACTTAAGAATAAAGAAATGTGGAAAATGGCAAAGGTCGAAGCACTGCCGCGCCCACAGCTCTTGTCGGCCAAAAAGGTAAACGTTGTCCGATTTTGATCAAATTCGGAGTATATGGGCAATTCTTACAAACTTCGAATTTTTTTGTGAATTTTTATTATTATTTTAAATCGTGAGCACGTTCCTTCATCTGTTATAATACAAAATCCAACGTGGTGCAACGTTTGAAAGCAACGCACCCTACGTTTTTAACGTTTTTTACGCGTTTTTTTTTTAAGTGGAAAACGGGCGTAATTTCAGTCTGATTTCGAAAATTTTCAACATATAGCTTTTTTATGCCAAGGTCAATAATTGCACAGAGTTAGGTCCAAATTGATAAATCGGTTACCGAGATACACATACAGTGAACCAAATAAAAACTGGGACGGGATATTTTAGTAAATTTTGGCTATTTTTCTTCACTTTATTTGACGCTTATTATTTTTTTATGAAAGTACAGCTGATTACTAAACAAACACGACATAAATCCAAATTATGAAAATTCTGCGAAGTTTGACCAAAACTTCTAACTTCTTGATCAACGTCTTTAGACAACATTTTGGTATTCAGTTTTGTAGCCCATCAAATTTTAGTTAACCAAAGTGCAAATTTTAAGTATCTTGGACTTACCGTTGATTTTTGGATCTTTTTTTTGTTGACGGTTCTCCGCACTTTTTTCGTATAAAAAAAAAATTCGAACATAAATTGCCAAAATTAAGGACAAGTCCTAGCATCTACAGCCCAAGCTCTTTCATTTGACATCTCATTTTCGAAAACCGCGCGGACGGTGCCGATTGGATAACATGGACAGCAAATCCTTTTGGGTATTATATATAGTGTTTTTTAGATGAAATTTTCAGGATCGGCCACTGGGACCATAATTAAGAAATAAACGAAAAAAGGACCTCGGTAGGTGTGCTGGGACGTGAGATATGTCCTGTTGCCATATGGCAACGCCAGCGCTGATAGGGTATAGGTTTTTCCGGATTAAATATATTGAAAATGCATCGTTCGTTTACGTTTTTTTACCAGAAAAAAGATTTTAAAGGCTATTATGTTGATGAAAAATAAATGTTTCCTTGATTTTTTGTATTGATTGAGATGATTATACTTTGAATATATGTGTAGGTCCGATGCTAGCGTTAGCATAGGTCGCCAAGTTATGCTGTTTATCAGACCCGCGCTAGCTATTGTTACAGCTCCCCAGAAACCTGGTAGGTACGTCGTTGTTCATGGTCAAGAATGACGAATCGTCTCTTCTCAGCCAATATGCTTTTCCTACGATTATTTGCCAAGCTTGAGTGCCAAAGATCGTGGTGCGCGTTAGAGTCACATACCACCATACAGTTTTCACCCTGAAAAGCGCACTTAAGTATGTCAGGATAATATCCTGCCGTGCAGGCGGGCGGTATAATAAAGTTAACACATCCGCCGTCACCCAACATGTTGCATTCCCACAGTCCAGCAATACAATGCGCCATGTCCGCATAATTATTGTTCACAATATAATTGACATCCTACACCTTTGTCAAGGCCAAGTGCATTTCACCATATCATGCAATAGCAATACTGCGCAACGCTATCAGACACCTATGGGAACCGTCGGCCATAGTTAGTACCTCTGGCTAATGCTTACGCAACCATTAGTATAACGGAGCCAATGCATTAGGCATTGCAGCGGTGTCAGCATAATATTATTTCACACGGTTGTGAAATCAGTGTGTTGCATATTCCAAGTTACCTGTGGGAATTCAAGGGCAAGGCGTCTCACTGACGTCGGGTATGTCTGGCTATAGAACAACGGCAGCAGAACAGGCTATAAAAGGTGGCAGAACTCGGAGCAGCGGCAGCTGCATCGGGGTGTTACTATTGTAAATTACGCTTATTTATTTATGTCAATAAAGTGCTTCTATTATAACATTCAAATTAACTCTTTCAAATCCAGGGCAAGGTGGCCCTTTAATTTTTTTAGTTATTCAGGACCTTCAGTCCTTAACTAAAATGTTAAATATTTCGAGCTCAACATCGCCAAGTCGGAGTACCAAGTACCCTGACATTCTAGGGTGGGGTCCCTGGGTTATCTAGGCTTAATTTAGTTTCGCTTGAGAAATTTTGTTTTCTATATGCTTTTTCCAGGTAAGTCTTCTATCTAGTGTCATCCCAAGGTATTTGACACTATCTTTTTGTGGTAAAGCCTTGCTGTTTATTTTTAGTGGTGGGCAAGTTTCTTTCTTCAAAGTAAATGTTTTCTGAACACACTTGCTTTCGCTAACCTTTATTCTCCAAGAACCTAGCCATAGCTCTAACTTTTTCAAAGATTATTTCAGCTTGTAAGAAGCCCCTTTAGGGTCTGAACTATTGCTTAGGATAGCTGTGTCATCAGCAAACGTTGGAATGGTTAGACTATCATCAGTTGGCAAATCGCGAGTGTATATTACGTACAATATGGGTCCTAGAACACTGGCTTGAGGGACACCTGCATATATTGGGTGACTTACTGTTCTAAAGGAATTCTGCCTGACTTTGAAGTTTCTCCCCAGCAGAAAGCTTTCCAGAATGGCATGCGTATTTGCAGGGAGTGAAACCTTTAGTTTGTATATAAGGCCATCATGCCAGACTTTGTCAAAAGCTTGAGAGATTTCCAAAAATACACCGGTGCAGTATTGCTTCCTTTCGAAGGCTTTTGTAATTCAAGAAACAATTCTATGAACTTGTTCTACAGTGCCATGTTTTTCACGAAAACCAAACTGATGTGGTGAAGTTATTTGGTTACTTGTTAATGAAGGTTGTATTTTTTCAATAGAAGTTTTTCAAATATTTTGCAAAATGCAGAAATCAAGCTAATCGGCCGATATGAACTTACTACTACTTACTTTGACACCATAATAATTTCCGAAAGTTTTCATAAATCGGGGAAGTGCCCCAACTTAAGCATGTTATTAAAAATATGTAAAAAAAATGTACGGCAGTTTGTGTAAGCTCCTTTATCATTTCACCAGTAATCCTATCGTAACCAGGCGCTTTATTCTTTTGAATATCATGAACAATGGTTTTAATTAAATCTTTCTTTTTAACCCGAAACGGATTTGTTGTAAGGCTACTGGGGGGTATTGAAATATTGGAAGGATGAGAGGCTTCATTAGGTCTAAAGACTTGTGAAAGATGACAGGCGAAAGCGTTTGCTTTATCCTCATCATTCCTCGCCCAGTTTCCGTTCTGAGTACGTAATGGTGCTTCTCGAAGAACGGGCCTCTTCGCATGCTTCAGCCTGTTTCGAAGAAGACAAGGACTGAAGGGTCGACTGCGTACTTCTTTCCTTTTCCGCCTGAAACAAAATACGAAATTCCTTTGTACATGATTCAGCTCCTGTTTAAGCTTAGGAGAGCGAATTCTTTGCCATTCCCTTCTTAATATGCGCTTTTTACTCATTAAATTAAGAATGTTTGGGGTGGGCAGGCCAGGGCAGTAAGAATTGCGATGTTTAATAGAACGATTTGGTGTTGCAATGTCTGCGGCCTTAACTATTATATCAGTGAAATTTTCAGCTGCCCTGTCGATATCAATCGTGGTCCGAGTAGGAATTGACGGGTCAATGTGCGAACTGACATACTTTTTGTATTTTAACCAGGTTGTGCGCTTATTTGTAAGATTTTTTTGTTTTTCTTCATAATTAATCAACATTGATAATGTTATAAGGCAGGGTGAATGATCTGAAGAGAGATCAAATAATGCTTCAGTATTAACTCGGTGTCGCGCAATACCATTTGTTACACCAAAGTCAATAAGATCGGGTATTTTTTGGGAGTGAGATGGCCAATACGTTGGCTGACCAGTAGACAAGACATCAAATCCTCTGTTCTGAATTACTTTATATAGATTTCTACCCTTTGGTGTAATAGAGTGTGCTTTTAGCATTGTAATCTCCTGCTACAATAAACTTACTGCCAAACTTTAGGAAAAAGTCATCAAATTGTTTTTCAGTTATGTTATGACGAGGGGGCAGTATATAGCAGATACAGTAAGGCCACCCAAGTGGTCATCAATGTGTATTAAAGCGTTATGAATGAACTCATCACTTTGCGATTCTAATTCATAGTGCTTTATTCTGTTACGAATGAGAATAGCTGTTCCACCTCGGGCTTTACCTTGTGGATGCTTAGTATCATAGAATTTGTACCCATTAATTTGAAAGTTATTAAATTGCGTAAGGTGGGTTTCAGATACAAGCAAAACGTCTATATGATATCGCTCTAGGAAAATTTCTAGTTCGTTTTAATGCTGGGTTATCCCGTTCGGATTCCAAAAACAAATTTTGAGATTATTCATGGTTTAGCTAAAATGGCTTGAAGTAATAGATTTTGATTTTTAATCAAATCTTGAACCATGCTCTGCATTGCCATCATTTGCTCCTGCATAACTTTCATAAAGTTGTTTATAGTAGCTTCTAGGTTACTACTATCCTGACCAAAAAGAGATTGTGTCGGAGGAGTATTTTTGAGCATTTGTGCATATGAAGTAAAGTTATTAACATTTATTGGCGCAGATATTGGCGTAGCGGGTTTCGGTATGGGATTTTGCCTAGTAGGATTTTTGTAAATTGTTTTCTCTTTCATTGAGATATAAACTGGACAACCTCTATAGTTAGCAGTGTGATTTCCTCCGCAGTTCCTGCACTTTTTGGGTTTTGGGTCCATTTTTGGTTTCACACATTCTCTAGAAGTGTGTAGATCCCCACAGATAACACAGACACCAGGTAAGGTGCAGTAGCGACTGTGACCAAATTCCTGGCAGTTATGACATTGAACAGGGCGTCTACGCTTATGGGGTTCTTCTACGGAGAGTTTACGGTGTAGAAGATATCGTAATTCATATATTTGATGCACTTCCCCTTTTTTCAGATTATGAAAGTCAGGTTATAGGTCTATTTTGAACA